TTTGTAAATCTTGAATTACTGGGATCTGAATTCTACTAACCGTATTTGAGAAACGAATAGGCTTGACCTTCAAACCTTTGTGCTTTGATCTTATTCTGATAATAAAATCTTACCTGAGAAAAGGTCTCTTCTGTAGGTTTGGAGTGGACAACAACCTGGCAAGCAGCGGGTAAGACTGTGGTCCTAGTCAACTGACCACTTGCTAGAATGTTTGCATTAAAAGATCTGTGTCTTCTCTGTGCTGCTTCAACAGCACACCTGATTTGGTTTAATGGAGATGAATTGCAAGGAAAACTTCACCTGGACTTCATTTCAAATTGCACAGAGGATCAATACATCTCTCCCCATGCCCAAAAATGCCACGTTCATACTCTGCTGTTATGATATATGATTGGGAAAAGGTAAATGTCCTGTCAACTGCCATCGCCCTTTATTATTTTTTTAAAGAAAAGTTAGTTTCCATTATCAGAAGGAGATAAGGAATGCTAGCTTCCATTTGTCATTCAAAATGCAACGCTTCCTTAGCTGGAAATGAAGGAAAACCATCACGTAGAGGTTTGTGTTTTGTTTTTTAAAATAGTGAAAATAAAGTCACAATTCAAGGTCAGGGAAAATTCAAATATGGTTACCACTGAGTTGCTAATATTTGGGGCAGGTTGCAGAGACAAAATTTCAACATTAACGTGGACTTCCTAATACTTTTCCCCCACCTAAAACAGACAGAATGTAGAAACTTCACATTCTGTCTTCTCTTCTTAAGTGGCAATTAGCTGTCACATCACCAATCTAGTGATCTTAGTTTCAACCTGAGGAAGTCTTTTCTTACTCCCATTTTTATACAATTGATCCAATCTCACAACAGGTATAATGATCTGTGGCATATATACAATGGGTCATTTACTGAGGGAGTGAGCTAGAAGAGCAGATCAGAACCAACAATACATCTGTGATAGTTGGAGCTGTGTGTCAACTTGGCTGGACCACAATTCTGTGTGGTTTAAACAATTGTGATGTACTTATTCCCATGATTGGAGCATATGAATATGTTTTGAGCAGCCAATCTGTTGAAAGGGAGTTTCCCTAGGGGTGTGGGCTGCTTCCAGTATATTTATGGATGTCCTGGGAAAAGAGACATTCTTCTGTGGATCGGGATTCTGTTGTGCTACCTACAACTATCAGTGAGTAAAATCCACCATTCGGCCTGGAGATCCTGGATTCATCCTTTGTTGGAGTCAACAGCCAGTATACTGTCTGCCAACCTTGAGCTCCTCAGCCCCTGCAGCTGCATGAGTCAGGAAAAGCCTCCAGCTTGACGTTTGATCCAAGAACTCTAGACTCCCAGGTTCTATAAGTGTGTGAGCCATTTTCCTAAGATAAATTTCTCTTTCTCTCTATATATAAGCTTTACTGGTTTTCTTTCTCTAGAGAACCCAGTCTAACACAACACCCAAGCTTTTTTCTTCTCATAGGTCCTTGTTGTTATTGTTAGATGCCATTGAATCGGCCCCAACTCATAGCAACCCTATGCATAACAGAATGAAACAATGCCCAGTCCTGTGCCAACCTCACAATCCTTGCCATGCTTGAGCCCATCATTATAGCCACTCTATCATTGCATCTTGTCGAGGGTCTTCCCCTTCTTTGCTGATGCTCTACTTTACCAAGCATGATACCCTTCTCCAGGAAATGGTCCCTTCTGACCACATGACCAAAGTAGGTGAGATGAAGTCTGGCCATTCTCACTTCCAAGGACCATTCCAGCTGCACTTCTTCCAGGATAGATTTGTTAGTTCTTTTAGCAGTCCATGGTATTTTCAGCATTTTTTGCCAACACCACAATTCAAAGGCATCAACCTTCTTCAGTCTTCCTTATTCATAGTCCAGCTTTCACATACATATGAGGCAATTGTAAATACCATGGTTTGGGTCTGGCACACCTTAGTCTCCAATGTGACATCTTTGCTTCTTAACACTTTAAAAAGGTCTTTTGCAGCAGATTTACCAAATGCAGTACAACGTCAGATTTCCTGACTGCTGCTTCCATGGGTGTTGCTTGTGGATCGAAGTAACATGAAGTCACTGACAACCTCAATCTTTTCTCCATTTATCATGTTGTTACTTATTGGTCCAGTTGTGAGGATTTTCATTTTCTTTATGTTGACATGTAATCCATATGGAGGATTGTAGTCTTTGATCTTCATCAGTAAGTGCTTCAAGTCATCCTCACTTTCAGCAAGCAAGGTTGTATCATCTGCATATTACAGGTTGTTAATGGTTCTTCCTCCAATCCTGATGCTGCGTGCTTCTTCATATAGTCTAGCTTCTCAGACTATTTGCACACTGAATAAGTACAGTGAAAGGATACAACTTTGACACACACCCTTCTTGCTTTTAAATCATGCAGTATATCCCTTGGTTCTGTTTGAACAACAGCCTCCTGGTCTACATACAAGTTCCTCATGAGCACAAGTGAAGTGTTCTGGAATTTCCATTCTTCTCAATGTCCTTGGTAATTTGTTAAGATCCATATGGCTGAATGCCTTTACATAGTCAATAAAACACAGGTAGACATCTTTCTGGTATTCTTTGCTTTCAGCTAAAATCCATCTGACATCAGAAATGATATCCCTCATTCCGTACCTTCTTCTGAATCCAGCTTGCATTCCTGGAATTTTCCTGTCAATATACTGCAGCAACCATTTTTAAATTATCTTCAGCAAAATTTTACTTGTGTGTGATATAAATGATACTGTTTGGCAATTTCCACATTCTGTTGGCTCACCTTTCTTTGAAATGGGCACAAATATCAATCTCTTCCACTCATTTGGCCAGGTAGCTGTTGTCCACATTTCTTGGCATAAACGAATGAGTGCCTCCAGTGCTGGATCCATTTGTTGAAATATCTCAGTGGGTATTCTGTCAATTCCTGGGGTCTTGTTTTTCACCAATTCCTTCAGTGCAGCTTGGACTTCTTCCTTCAGTACCACTGGTTCTTGATCATAAACTACCTCTTGAAATAGAAGAACAATGACCAATTCTTTTTGGTACAGTGACTCTATGTATTCCTTCCTTGTTTTTTTTTTTTTGATGCTTCCTGCATTATTCAATATCTTGCCCATAGAAATACTGAATTGCAACTCGAAGCTTGGATTTTTTTCTTCAGTTCTTTCAGCTTGAGAAATGCTAAGCATATTCTTCCCTTTGCACATTTTATTATAATATTTTACTGTCTTCCTGAGTCACCCTTTGAAATCTTCTGTTCAATTCTTTTATCTGAGCATTTCTTCCATTCACGTCAGCTACTGTAGTTCAAAAGCAAGTTTCAGAGTCTCTTCTGACATCCTTTTTGGTTTTTTCTTCCTTTTTTGTCCCTGTAGGAAATGCTAAAAGTGCTACTCAGCTTTCAGGGTTTCCATACCAATAGATGATAAGACCTCTCCCTGCTTGGATGAGGCAACCCAAAAAAAAAAAAAAGTTCCAAATTGAACTCATCTTCCCCACTTAACAAAACAACTCTTCTTCCAGTCTTTTCCACCTCAAAAAATGATACCATTATCCATTCATTAGGTTGAACCATGTAGGTCATACATGGTTGATTGACTACTGTCAATTCCAAACAAATCATCTTTAATACTTGTTCAAGTCAGAAATATGGGTGAAATCCTTATCATCTCACTTCTCCTTCAACTCTCACAACTAACCAATCATGAGACCTAATACATTCTATTTTTCAGGCAGGTCATATCATAAATCCATCTCTAAGGCAACTACCATAGCCCAAGACATCACTAATTGCCCTCACAAATTCCACTGTTCACAATACAATGAAGCAATGCGTACACTTTAAAACACTAATTATATCATCCCACTTCCATGCTAGAAATCACTCAATGGCTTCCCACTATCCTAAGACAAAAGCCACACACCCTGACATAGCCTACAGGCTCCAGACCCTCCTAACCTCTTCAGTGCCATTTCAGTCTATATTTTTTCTAGTCACTTTGACCTACTTTTTATTTTCTCAACCATACTGCTTGCCACATCAGGACCTTTGTACATACTGCTGCTGCCTGGAAGTCTCTTTTCTTTCACTATCTGCAAGGCCCTTGTTGTCGAGTGACCCCTACTCCTCCTTCTTTCACGTTCCAACTTAAATGTCACTGCCTCAAGAGAACTTCTCTTACTTTTCCCAGATGAGGGTGGGACCCCATACTGTACACATCCATGAGGCTCTGTTCTCTACCACAGCACTGAGCACATTTCTAGTTACTTGTTCAATGACAGGATACCCTACTAGACTCAAGCTGCAAGAAGGCAAGACCATGGCTGTCTGGTTCATCGCCATATCACTGTCACTAAGGCAGGGTCTACCATCTAGTGAGCATTCAATAAATGTTTACTGATGGGATGAACCCCTCACAGATGTCAAGATTGCAATTTACAATTCAAAGCTACAATCTTTGCTCAGTGATATTTCTCTGTTTTGATTTATCTTAGGTGACTTTTCTATTTAGAATTTTTTAAAAGGAAACAAAAAATGTTCAATTTAGAAAATTAATACTGAAAAGCTTAACTAAAACTCTGGGTTCTCCCTCAATTATCCCCTGGGTGTGGCTTTATCTCGTAGGAGTTAGTGTTATAAGAGAAATAACATAACTGCAGCTAACATTTATTGAGGGCCATCTACATGCCAAGCCTATGGAGGAAACAGAGGTTAAAGAAGTTAGAGAATTTACTGAGATTTACACAGCTAGTAAATGGTGAAGGCACAGTCACAAAGACTCATAATCCAATGCTCTCAGTCCTCAGTCTTTGGGAAAGACAACCTTTAGAACATAGGTGCCATCTCTCTGCACACTGCAAAGAGCATCATGAACAGAATCCAAGAGAAACACATTTTCAACTGTATAATGTATCCAAACACATTCTGGCTAATTTCACCATATTTCCAAGAGCAATTATCTTCCAAGCTGTATCTTATTAAAAACAGGTGTTCCTACCGGAAGAAACAGTCTTTGGGCAGCACAGGGTTTGAATAATTTCTTCCATTCCTGAGGGTTTCCAACAGAAAATGTGATGGGGTAGATTCTGTGCTCAAACTTCTTTGTATATGAGTCAGGCCACTGTTGTAACTGAAAAATACAGAAGGCAAGGGGAGGGTGATTAGAACCCAAGAAATATGGAAAACACCTGCACAAGTTTTGGATAATCAAATGGAAATTATTTGGGCAATTTTTATAGAAAGCCTAACTTCATCACCACAATTAATGTTCATGGAACAAAAGACCATTTTTTTCCCCATCAAAATTGCTACAATTTTAAAAAATAACATTCAAAGTTGGCAAGGGTGTTGGGAAATTGGCACACAAACACTGCTGAGGGAAGTATAAATTTGAACAAACTTCGAAGAGGGCAATTTGGAAATTAGTAACAAAAAATACCAAAAGTGGAGGGAGTTCTGGTATGATGGCAGAATAGGGAGACAAACTACACAAACTTTCTTCAACAAAGAAAAGAGGAACCAATTAACATAGATACAGAAGGTAATCCTGGAGCCCTGAGCTTTGAAAGGAAGGATACAGAAGTGGACTAAACTCCAACAAGCAGAAGAACCTGCATGAAAATAATGAAAAAAGGAGACATACAGAGCTGCAGATTGTCAGTGATCCTGACAGCACAGACAGTTTGGTTATTTCCAGGTGGTGTTAGGACCAAAGAATTAACCTAAATATTGGCCCTCCTAGCCAGGGGCTATATGGAGGACTGCACTGGCGGCTGGTGAATAAAAGGGCAAACAGCAAAGAGGGAGACAAACTGAGCTGTGGACTTAGGGGGTGCAGCCATTTTGAATGTTTACAGGCAGTTTGACCATCTCGGATATTTAAAACGACAGCATTCTCTCAGATTCCAGGAACCTAAGAATAGGCTCCACTGGCTGACCACAGCAAGGATATACCAGACACTGACGATTAGAATGGTAGTATATTCCCCTTGTTATTCTTATACCCCACACCCTCCTGGTGAACAGAGGTGTGGCCAAACCTCATCCCCATCCACCTTCTGAGCCAGCAGGAATTCCCTCCCAGTCTGTGTGCTCTGATGGAGGTTAGGTGCCCTGCCCTACCCCACCCTGATTGGTTTTTTTTTTTTTTTTTTTTTGGTCTTTTTTAAAGTTCTTCTTTTTTTCCCCTTCCTTTTTATTATTATTCTTTTTTTGTCCCATCCCAGCTTCCAGTTTTTGCCTTTTTCTCTCCTCCCTTTTCCAGGTTCCCAATTTTTCATTTCTTGTGGTTCTCCCTATTCCTTGTCTTTTTGCATTTTTCCCATTTTTTTTCTTCATTACTCTCTTACTCTACACCTCTTTTCTCTTATCCCCCCTCCCAGATACTGAGAGTTCCTCCCTTTTTCTATTCATATTTCTTTTGTCTTTTTAAACTATTTCTTTAAATATATTCTCCCACTTATTCCCTTTTTTTTTTGCCTCTCTTTTCTCTTTTTGGTGATTGTTCCCATGTGCTTATGCAGTGTGTGTTTTTTGTCCTCTTGCTTTTAGTTTTTTGATCCCTGTTTTTGTCTGAGTGGGAGACAGCAACCGTGCCCATATGATCCAACCACACCTACACCTCCTGCAGCTCCACTTACTGAGTGAGGGCCACCACTTCCTTCTGCACCAACTGGCCAGTGATACACAACCACCAACAAAAGTCTGACCCACCCTGAACTGCTCTTCACAAACAGTTAACAGAGATCTGTGCAGCCACTCTCACACTCTATCACACCCACCAGGAGACAGGTGATGAGTGTGTAAGTGCTGCCAATTAGCGAATAGAGAAGCACAGTACCCTGCTTACTCAGACACATCCAAAAAAGAAAAGAAAAGAAAATGAAAATCATGGGCAAATCACTCCAACATACAATCACCAATTAAATATAAATACAATGTCACAATGTCTTGGAGACAAGACCATCACAGAACACACAAAGAAGCAAGATAAAGCAGTAGAAACAAAGGAGCAGGATGCAGACCTAGAACACATTCCTAAGAAAGATGCAGAAAAGGCATTTGATAAAACCCAACATCCATTCCTGATAAAAACTCTCAGAAAAATAGGAATAGATGGGACATTCCTCAACATAATAAAGGGCATACTGCCTCGGAAACCCAAGGAGGGGTCGCTATGAGTCGGGTTTGACTCGACAGCACATAACAACAACAAAATGCAAAACCAACAGCCAACATTATTCTCAATGGAGAGAGACTGAAACCATTCCCCTTGTGAACAGGAACCAGACAAGGATGCCCTCTATCACCACTTCTATTCAACACTGTATTGGAAGTCCTAGCTAGGGAAATAAGGCAAGAAAGGGAAATCAAAGGTATCCAAATTGGTAAGGAAGAAGTCAAACTATCCCTATTTGCTGGTGATATGATCCTATACATAGAAAACCCAAGAGACTCAGCAAGAAAACTACTGCAACTAATTGAGAGATTTAGTATAGTGGCAGGATACAAAATCAACATACAGAAATCAGGTGGATTCCTCTACACCAGCAAAGAGATTCGTGAAAAAGAAATAAGGACATCAATACTATTTACAATAGGTACCAATAAAATAAAATACTTGGGAATAAATCTCACTAGGGATACAAAAGACCTGTACAAAGAAAACTATTAAAACCTACTTCAGGAAACCATAAGATATCTACATAAATGGAAGAACATACCACGCTCGAGGATAGGAAGACTGAACCTTGTGAAAATGTCAGTCCTACCCAATGCAATCTATACATTCAATGCCACCTCAATTTAGATCCCATCAACATTCTTTAAGGATATGGAAAAACCAATCACTAACTTTATATGGAAAGCAAAGAGACCTCAGATAAGCAAAGCACTATTGAAGAACAAGAACAAAGTAAAAGGTCTCACACTACCAAAGTCAAAACCTTCTATACAGCCACAATAGTCAAAACAGCCTGATATTAGTACAACAACAGACACACAGTCCAGTAGAATAAAATTAAGAACCCAGAAATAGATCCATCAATCTATGGTCAGCTGATCTTTGACAAAGGGCTGATACCTGTTAAATGGGGGAAGACATGGTCTCTTTAACAAATGATGATGGCAAAACTGGATATCCATTTGCAGAAAAATGAAATACGATCTGTACCTCACACCATACCCTGACCCAGGACTAGTAGCAAAAACCAACTCCGGATGGATCAAAATCTAAAATGATAAAGTTCCTCAAGGAAAAACTAGGGGCAAATGTAGGGGCCCTAAACTGCTAACCAGAAGGCTGGTGGTTCAAACCCACCAGCCACTTCTTGGAAGGAAGGCGGGGCAATCTATTTCCATGGTGATACTGCCTCAGAAACCCAAGGAGGGGTTGCTATGAGTCAGATCCAACTCAATGGCAGTGGTTGCGTTTTTTTAATATATGGCATAAACAGACTATCAAGCATAACACAAAATGCACAAACAGCAGAAGAGAAACTAGATAAATGGGACCTTCTAAAAAACTAAATTTTTACATGCTTCCAAAGATTTCTCCAAAAGAGTAAAAAGAGGACAAACTGGGAAAAAAAATATTTGGCAACAACATATCTGACAAGGGAATTATCTCTAAAATTTATAGAAAACTCCAACAGCTCAACAAACAGACAATCAACAAACAGAAAAGACAAACAATCCAATTCAAAAATGGGCAAAAGACATGAATAGACACTTCCCAAAGATGATATTCAGGTGGCCAAAAAACACATGAAGAAATGTTCATGATCATTAGCCATTAGAGATATGCAAATCAAAACAACAATGAGATACCATCTTGACCCAGGATTAGTAACACAGTTCAACAAGACAGAAAATAACAAACGCTGGTGAGGAGGTGGAGAGACTGGAACACTCATACACTGCTGGTGGGACTGTCAAGTGATACAACCACTGTGAAAAGCAGTAAGGCGATTCCTTAAAAAGTTGGAGTTAGAAATACCATTTGACCCAGCAGTTCCATTACTAGGTATAAACCCTAAAAAAGTGAGAGCCAGGACAAAAACAGATATATGCACACCCATGATCACTGCAGCACTATTTATAATAGCAAAAAGATGGAAACAACCTAGGTGTCCATCAACAGAAGAATGGATAACTAAACCAAATGGTACATACACACAATGGAATATTATTCAACCCTCAAGAATAATGTAGAATCTGCAAACCACCACATAACATGGATGAACTTGGAGGACATTATGCTGAGTGAAATAAGTCAATCATAGAAGCACAAATATTGTATTAGTCCACTATTGTAAAAAGTCAAGGAAAGGTTTCTATATGGAATGATTTTTTTTTATTTTTTGTTGATTACTAGGGGTAGGAAGGGAGGGGAGGGAACACTACTAGATAGGTAGAGGCAAGTATTGATTTGACTGAAGGGAAGGGCAATGCATGAAATGTGAGTGATCAACACAATGGCATTGAGAAAGAGTAAGACAGAGAGAGGTACATGGAAGATAAAGACAACAAAGATGAACCCCCCCTTTTTTTTTTCTTTTTATTGTGATTTGGGTGAAAATTTACAGAGCAAATTCACTTTCCATACAGCAGTTCACATACATTTTGTCTCATGACATTGACCACAATTTATCACAATGCAACAATTTCCCTCCCATTTCCTCCCCATAGTTACCTCTTCCCTGTGTCCATCCCTCCATGCACTTCTGCCTCCTGAG